AAAAAAAAAAAAGCTATTAGCTTTTGCCTTACATATCGTGATGATCTATTGTTAGGTGCATACACATTGAAGATTATTTTGTCTTGAAAAATGGACCTCTTTGCCATTACATAATGTTCCTCTTTTTTTTCTTTTCAGTGTCCTTGCTCTATAGAATGCTCTACCTAAAATTAATATAACTACTTCCATTTAGTTTTTGTTTTGGGCAGTACTGGAATTTGTACTCAGGGTCTTCTGTTTGCCAACCAGGGTACTCTACCACTTGAACTTGGACCCTTTTGTCCAGCAAAGGCATTTCCCACTTTTTCAGCATTTCTTTGGTTCTTTCTTACACTTTCCATCTGTATGCTTTCTTCATACAGCGTACATACTGTCTACTTTTCCCATTGGAACTATGAGCATATCAATTATAAGTATTTTAAATTCTTAGTTTGAGATCCTTGGTATTCCATGTCTCCGTGCATGCGTGTGTGTGTGTGCGCGCGCGTGTGTGTGTGTGTGTGTCTCGCTTGAACTCAGGGCTTGGGCACTGTCTTTAAGCTTTTTTGCTCAAGGCTAGTGCTCTACCACTTGAGCCACAGCTTTTTTGCTGATTAATTGGAGGAGAGTCTCACAGAGTTTTCTTCCCTAAAGTCTGAGACCTGAGATTCTCATTTCTTAGTGTAAGATTATAGGTGTGAGTCACTGGGGTTCAGCTTGGCTGAGTCTGTGTTTGATGCTTTTTTCTGTCTTTCAGTGTATCTTGTAATTTTTTTGTTGAAACGTGGACATACTCTACTTTGTAAAGAGAAGCGTTATAAATAGGTCTTTAGGAAGGTATGGAGAAGGCATTCTATACTTGTATAATATTCAGTTTGAGGAAAGGACACATTCTATGTAAGCTTAAAATAGTCTAATATGTTATGCTTTCAAGTTCCCCATCAAGAAAGTCGTGATAATTACAATTCAATTTGTGCTTTATAAAGAGATGAGCTAAAGGGAAGGGATCAGAGAGAATGAAAGCTGTCTTATTGATGAAGATGCATTGGGGAGTAGATGATTAGTTGAGTAGCAACTAAATATAAAATAGACAGAACAAAATAAAATATAATTAAAAAAAAAGAAAAACAAAATAAATAAGCCACAGTTGACACTTTTTTCCTCTCCCCCAAGATAGCTTGTTTTAAGCTTCATACCCTTGCAGTTGTTTTTCTGTCTTGTGCCTCTGTAATGGATAAATTTGGGTTCGGCAAAACACCCCAGTTGTTTCTATGGTAATTATTTGTGCAGATGAGGTCCTGTATAAGCAGCGAGTATGCAGCAGCAGGTACAGTTGTTTGTGGGGTTTATTTTGCCAGTCCTGGGCTTGAATTCAGGGCCTGGGCACTGTCTCTGAGCTGTTTTTGCTCAAGGCTAGCGCTCTACCACTTGGGCCACAGGACCACTTTTCTAGCCTCTTCTGTGTTTGTGGTACTGAGGAATCGAACCCAGGGCTTCCTGCATGCTAAGCACTAAGCCACACTCCCGGCCCTACTGTTGCTTTTGTTTTTATTTTTTCGTACTGGGGATTGAACCCAGGACATTGCACTTGAGAGGTGAGCACTTTGCCACTGAGCTAGGTTATATTATAGTTGTTTGTGATCTTCTGGCCAACTCTGGTTCTTTAGTCTGGGCAGAAAGAAAACTACTCGTGAATACTGTTGTAGTAAATTGGGCTTTGAGATCCTCTCTCTTTCTTATGTCTTTAAGGTGAACAGTATGGTTTGTTATTGAAAAGATACATGTAGGGCTGGGAAGGTGGATCAGTGGTAGAGTGCTTGCCTTGCATGCATGGGGCCCTGGGTTCGATTCCTCAGACCACATAAGCAGAAAAAAGCCAGAAGTGGCACTGTGGCTCAAGTGGTAGAGTGCTTACCTTGAGCTAAAGAGCTGAGGGACAGCGCCCAGGCCCAGAGTTCAAACCACATGACGACCAAAAAATAAAAAAGACACATGTAATTTCAGCTTCCCTTTCATTTGATCTTAGTACTGATAATACTAATGTGTGACTTGTGTTTGCTTTCTTCCTCTTCTGCTTGCTGAAGTTGAGCAGTTGGTGTCCAGTGATAAAGCAGAGGTAGGGTAAGAAGTGAGGGTCCTTGCTAACTAATGAAGATGTACATTAGACACAACTTGAAGGTGGTAGGTCATCACTGGCAATTAGTGGACAACGACTGGTATTCTATGCTTTTCTCTTTACTGGGATGTGCTAGCAAGAGAGACTTAAGCTTTCTGCAGACTATAAACCAGAAGTACTCATTTCAGTTTTTAATCCTGTCTTTTCTCTCTTGAAGGTGCACTTACGGAGTGCTACGATGAGCTGGGAAACAGGTACCAGCTGCCAGTCTATTGCCTGGCACCACCAATCAACATGATAGAGGAAAAGAGTGACATAGAGACTCTGGATATTCCTGAGCCACCACCCAATTCTGGATATGAATCTCAGCTGCGTTTGCGCCTTTCCACAGGCAAAGACCTTAAGCTTGTGGTACGCAGCACAGACACGGTGTACCACATGAAGAGACGGTTACATGCAACTGAAGGAGTGGAGCCAGGCAGTCAGCGGTGGTTCTTCTCTGGTAGACCTCTCACTGACAAAATGAAGCTAGAAGAGCTGAAGATCCCAAAGGACTATGTCGTACAGGTTATAGTAAGCCAGCCTTTGCAAAACCCAACACCAGTTGAGAACTGAATTGATGCTGTTGGCCGGTGTCCAGGTCCCTCCACTCCTTTTATTCTTGTCACTTCCTACTCTATGGCGTGAAACTTATTTTCACTCCTCTGAATTCCCTATGAATGGATTTAGTTCTGAGGAATTATGAGTGAAAAATTCCATCTGTGATGGAGACCAACAAAAATAATAAAACACAAAGAGCCAGCCTTTCAGACTCAATGTAATTGCAGCCTCTAATTTGAGAGACAGGAAGTAGATAAAACCATTTGTTTTAAAACACTCAACCACTATAAAATGCCTGTATTCAAATGGTTTGGACTGTAAATGGAACATGGCCCATGAAGAGCAGCACCAAACACCTTTTGAATGCAGGGTTTAAAAAAGAGAATCAAATTACACAATTTTAAGAAGCCAATAGTTACCAACTAAAGCTTTTAAAAATGGAATCTAGGAAGAGCTATGTGTGAGTCTGGCTTCTGTTCTGAGTCTTGATCTCAGTAGAGCTTGGCGACCTGTGTGTCAGTGTTTCTTTGCTCACCTCCACATGTTGAGCTCCTTGTTTACAGTCACACTAAATTTTGGTGCCTTCCAGCACCCTTCTGGCACACTAGGAAGTAATGGAGCTGACAGTACATCATTTCTGGTTTTAAATTGACAGTCATTTGAAATGTCCTTTTTCCTCTTGCTGCATAGTTATTTGGAGCACAGCAACCCAGACTGAGAAGGCCACTACTACCAGTGCCTTCACTGTCTGTGTGCTCTGCTTGGACATTCCACAGCTAACACTGACCCCACAACGCACAGTTCTGAGCCAGGGGCTGCAGGGACCAGTATGGCTGTTCCCATTGCAGGATCAGACAGTGGTTCTTCTGCCTCATTTTGCAGGAGATAAGGAAAACCATTCTGTGTGGACCAGAAAAACTGATTCTGTCTTTTAGAGAAAAATTTACCTCAAAATTTTCAATATGGGCCGGCACCAGTGGCTCACGCCTATAATCCTCACTACTCAGGAGGCTGAGATCTGAGGATCATAGTTCAAAGTCGCCCTATGCAGGAAAATCCATGAGACCACCAGAAAACCCCAAGTGGCTCCGGCTCAAGTGGTAGAGCACTCACCTTGAGCTGAAGAGCTGTGAGGGACAGCGCCCACGCCCAGAGTTCAGGCCCCATGACCAAACCAACCAAAAAAAAAAAAGTAGTCAAGTATGAAAGGTTGATTGGTGTCACCTAAACATTGGCAGTGTGACCAAATGCTGACACGTTAGTCATGTCCACGTCATGTCCAGTCCGATGGCACTCCTCCTCCCTCATCTTTTCCATCAAAGAGGCAAATTAAGGACCATCTGCAGAGTAGCTTAGAGGCCTAAAAGGTACAGCAGGATGAACTGATTCTGGGTAGTATGACTGGCTGTAAAGCTGCCAGAGGTTCTGTTTTACTGTGAGAAGAGAGTAATAACACCTGACTACCTAGGACCCTGAGAATCTCAAATGGAAAAGTAGAGGGAAGAAGGCACTGCACGATTCTCAGTGGGAAAAATCTATTTGAACATAAAGCTGCAGATTAGTCTAAATATATAATGTTAAAATGGCATTAAATTTCCTATATTCTGATTCAGTGTATCTGTAATTGCAGTTTTTCAGTCAGAGAGCTTTTACCTGCTTCCCTATTCTGTTCCGTTGTTTTAAAGACTGTGGCTTCATCTAATTAGATTTGTTGATGATCAAGTGTAACTCCAAAACAAGAGGCTGGAGATGTAGCTCAGTGGTAGAGCACCTAATAGCAATGTACAAGGCCCTGGGTTCACTCCCAAGCACCACCAAAAAAAAGTAAATAAATTCAGGCAAAAATAGCATTAATTCCAAAGGAGAGTTTTTCTATTTAGAGGTGCAGGTACAAGGGTATTTCAATATATTGCCCTGTTATCAAAGGGTTTTTTGTTCATTTGTGTGCCACACTTTCAAAGATCATCAACTAGAAGAAAAACAGTGTTCTGTTTTTTTCTTCGGGAAGAATGGTTATGCCAACAATAATCCACTGGTTGGTAGAAGGTCTTGTTTGTTGAGGACTTGCCCTCTCTTTAAGAGCTTTTTATTTTAAAGGAACATACGCTTTGAATAACAGTTTTCTGGGCATGTTTAACCTGGATGAGAAAACCATGGTGCTGTTTTAATTGTCAATAGGTTGATGTAAGATTGGACCAATACTTGATGTGTGTAATTTTAGTATGTAGGGTTTTTGTGCTTTTTTAAAAAAATGTTCAATTTTTCTCTTTGTCTTTGCCTTTATTTGGGGTTTTTAGCTGCTTTCTCTATATAAGGGTAGTCTACCTCATTCTGATAAGTAGTGGGAAGGCTATACCTTTAGCTCATTATCACCAGATGTAAGCTCTGCTATGCCAAATCACTGGGAAATGTGCTTCATCTTTTGCCATGCAATCTTGTTCCAAAATACATTTTCTTTCCCCCTCTTAACATCATGCTGCCAGCCCTGAAGATGGCACATAGATGTAATCTCAGGACATGGAGGTGGAAGCAGAAGAATTTTAGAGTGCAAGGCCAGCCTGGACCGCGCAGACACCTTGTATCCACAACACACAAAACCAAAATGACAAAAGATATGCTACAGACCAACTCAAAATTCAGTTTTTATGAAGCATTAAACTTACTTATTTTTACATCAAAGTGGCAGGTTTTGATTTCCTGAATTTTAATATTGATTTAAAATAGGTGATACATGCTCATGAGAAAAAAACTTGAATATACCAAGGTAAAAAATCTCCCACTCGTCTCCCATTTTTCTCCTAGGTTTAACAATGATCACAGTTTTTCTGGATTTTTTTTTTTCCTCATCGGGCTGGTGACTGAACCTAGGGCCTTGTTTGAACCCCAGCCTTCTGGGTAACTTTAAAGATACTCAAACACTGTAGTTCTCAAACTTGTGCATGTATCATCATCGCAGACTACTAAGAAATATATAGAAATGTATTAAGATATGTATACCTGTATAGCCTGGGCTACTCATCTCAAATAATAATAATATGCTAAAACCAGCAGAGTTCTGTCTATAAGCATAGCCGTGTTTTACTGACCTTGAATTTGAATCCTGGCTCTACCACCTGTCTGAAATGTTCTTGGGTAGGTTCTTAATCTCTAGGCTTCAGTATCATCTGCAAATTGAAGATAGTACTACCCAATTGGGTCAAAAGGATAGTCGTGTATTTAAGGGTTGTCTAGAGTACTGGAGGCATGGCTCAAGTGGTAGAACATCAGCCTAGAATTCATGAGGCCTTTAATTCAATCCTAGTACCACAAAGATAAATTATTGTCTAACTTGTAAGCACATGATCTGTAACAACTGTTTGTTTGGGTTTTTTTTTGGGTCCGGTCAGGGGGCCTGAATTCTGGGCCTGGGCGCTGTCCCTCAGCTCTTTAGCTCAAGGCTCTACCACTTGAGCCACAGCGCCACTTCC